TGTTGGAGATAGAGCCTCGAAGGAAAGGACTGCCATTTCTCAAACGTGTGGAGTACCGTATTGTTAGCAAGGTTTGTAAACTCAAACTCAGTTTGTATTTATAATACTTAAATCACACATTTTTAGCTCCCTCTCTCTCTATATACACACACACACACACACACACACACAAATATGTATGTGCAGTATATATAGATAGCATCATTATCTCTCCATTTTCATTTATCCTTAAAAATTCCTAAATGCCATTCTGTATTCCCTAAACAATATTAACTACTCCATTCCTTTTACACTTTTACTTGATTTACTAAAATAACTAATCAAATAAAATAAATTTAAAAACTATAAAGACATCTTTAAAATGACAAAGCACACAACAATATTATTCAAACTTAGCAGAAAATCTATTAAAAAAATCACAATATTTAAAAAATATTATTCAAAAACTATCATAGTATCTCAGTGATACTAAAATATCTGGTCCCTGCAATATTTGACAACGAGAATACATTTTGACTTACTTTCAAAAAACTGATTTTGTGGGGTTATGCTATTTTTATTTAAATTAAATAAATAAACTTGTTTTGATACATTTTTTACAGCAGTGATATTCAGACATTTATAATTATATCTTAAGCATCCAAATACATTTTGAGGCCACTGAATATCAAGAAAATATAATTATTTAAAAAAATGTTGTAGACACTCTTTGAGAGCAATATCTCTCTTTTTTTTAATTCTTATTAATTTTACTATTCTTTTAATGTTTGATGCAGTATGTGGTTACATATTTAAATAAATAATCCTGGATCTTCCAAAACCGGTAGTCAGCTCATATATCTCTTTTTTTTTTCCAGGTAACCCAAAATATTTAATTTTGGCAGGAACTTACATAATATTCAAAGATTACATGTGTTATCCTTAAAGGGGTCATATGATGCGATTTTAATTTGTCCTTTCTTTTTGGAGTGTTACAAGCTCTTGGTGCATAAAGAAGATCTGTAAAGTTGCAAAGACTTAAGTCTCAAATCCAAAGAGATATTCTTTAAAAAAAAAAAGTTAAGAGTCAGCCAGTTGGCATGCAACTTAAAAAAAAATAGTTCACCCAAAAATGAAAATTTGCTGAAAATGTACTTACCCTCAGGCCATCCACGATGTAGATGAGTTTGTTTCTTCATCAGAACAGATTTAGGATTACATCACTTGCTCACCAATGGATCCACTGCAGTGAATGGGTGCCGTCAGAATAAGAGTTTAAACTGCTGATAAAAACATCACAATAATTCACAAGTAATCCACACGACTATCAACAAGTCTATTCATTGGTTGAGCCACTACAAAAGTACTTTTAATTCATTTCAAATTGATTTTTTTTTCCAAGTTAAATGATTTTAATTATCATTATGTAGAATAATTGAATCAAAGATGTGACCACAGAGGAGAAAACAGTTAAAAGGCAGTGTAATCTTCAAAAATACAAGGATTAAAAACAAACGTTCTTGTGAGTTTTTATTGAGGATGAAAAGTAAATTTTAATGGCCATGTCAACTCATAATTTTATTGTCAACCAAAGTGAGTGCTCTTCCTCTTGTAAAACCATGGATACAGTAGAACATGCACACATATGGGAATAACAGAAGAGGAGTTTAAGTTCACAGCTTTGCAAAAGGGACCATAAAGATCCTCATAAAGAGAGAAACACATATGTGACCCTGGACCACAAAACCAGTCTTAAGGGACTGGGGTATATTTGTAGCAATAGCCAAACATTGTATGGGTCAAAATTATCGATTTTTCTTTTATGCCAAAAATCATTAGGATGTTAAGTAAAGATATTTTGTAAATTTCCTACCATAAATATATCAATGATTAGTAATATGCATTGCTAAGAACTTCATATTTTCCTATTTTGATTTTTTTGCACCCTCAGATTCCAGATTTTCAAATAGTTGTATCTCGGCCAAATATTGTCCTATCCTATTGTCCTAAAAATGGACCCTTATGACTGGTTTTATTGTCCAGGGTCACATATGGGTGATGGAGCAGACAAAGGTAAAACAATGCTTCCTATTTGAGCTTTACTGCCAGTGCTGGTATGTCATAGCCCCGCCCCAGACTCACGCCATTGGTTGGGATTCTCCAACAAACAAAGCAGTGTTTTGATCGAGCCAGAGACGGAATCAAAGTACAAATGGTTTATTTAGTCCCTGCATCTTATGTTGGGCTAGGAGAGAGAATTTTAAGATACAAATGACACATTTCTGCTTTAAAGAACTGCATCAAAATAAAATGTCCTATATAAAGGCATTCCAGGTGGAATACTTGGAATATATACCTTGTTGTTATTTCTACACATTTAGCAATGATCAATTTGACTAAGACTAATTCCCATCTCTGAATGGAAGCATCACCTCTGTCCTGATTAAAATAATGGTATAAAACTTCACACAAAAGCTGAACAAATTAATAAACACAATGTAACATAAAATGAGCATGTGTATGATAAACAGATTGCACAGTTCTGACATGGTGCACTGTCATTAATTACATTATAATTATCATTAACAGATCAATCAATACTCCATTTGGAATATTAACTGAACATATGACACCTAAGGCAAAATCAACAGCTCATTTAAGAGCTGTCATGTGAGCAAATTAAAAAATTAAGCTTATTTAGGTAGTAAAGATTCCTGATGGCACTAAAGGTAACCATAAGAGCAAAGGCAGAAAACTGAACTGAATGTGGTGGATATTAGCAAACAGTCAACAAAATTGATCAATTGGACGATTGGTGTCAGTCCATAACTATGGCCACCAAAAAAAGTTAGTATTCCCTTTGCGTCAGGTCCAAAATCTATCAACAGCCTTATTAAAGGATAACAAACATTTTCTATTTTATGTGAAAATCATTAAAGGAATAGCGGATTTGTTTTTTTACAAACATGCAGTTTTTTTGCTTCACAAGATGTTAATTGTTGGACTGGAAATTACTTGTGGATTATTGTGATGTAGTCACCCATTCACTGCAGAGGATTCATTGGTGAGCAAGTGATGTAATGCTAAATTTATCCAAATCTGTTATGACTAAGAAACAAACTTCTCTTCATTTTGGTGAGTAAATGTTCAGCAAATTTTCATTTTTGGGTGAACTATTCCTCTAAATCAATTATTTATGTATACATCCACATTACATCATCCATCTTGCAGTCTAGATATCGGCACTGGTATCAGCCACTCTAAACTGTATATCAGTCGACAACTGCGCAAATACGTCTGATTGTTTCCCTGTCATCTCTGAAAGATATGTTGAGGTATTTAACATAGTTTCGGAGAACAAATGTGTATGTTTATGCACATGACCAAAACAGGTATTAGTCACCTGACACACAGAGATCCAAGATGTAGGGATTACTAATTTCATGCACAGCTGCATGAACTGCATGGAAGCTATGGGGAAATGGTCATGACTAGCAACAGAATGATATATCGATCAGGCTAATTAATGGTCCGATATTTGGTCATTTTGAGGCTATTGGCACTAGCTACTGGCACTCCAATTACCATTAACATAAATGTTAACGCTTTCTTCTGTCAGTACAAAAACCCACCGACAGCTTTGTCAATGGACAGTTTCAGTTTTAAAAACATAAATTATACAGTGAAGGTCAAGTCTGAGGCCACACTGAAAATTTGGGATTCTACGTGTAATTTCAACCTAGAAATAAACAGAATGCTTTAGAATAATAAAAATGTTTAAAGGTGACATATCATGAAAATCTGACTTTTCCAGGTTTTAAGTGCTATAATCAGGTCCTCGGTGCATCTACCAACCAAGGAAACGTGAAAACGATTAACCCAGTAACTTTGTTTTGGGAAGCCTTTCTCGGCAAGCATCTGAGGGATCTAAAATAAACATGCAATTTATTTCCCAGCTGTTTACCTTCACAGACAACCAACTGTTTTTGTAACTCGTGTTTTTAACATAAACTTGTCTGTGAATGAGAACTTAGTTTAGTACTCACATGCTGTGACAGCCGCTTTCTGTACGTGTGCACTCAGAAAACCGTATATAAGAAGTTTAAACTAATATGGTTTAAACGCATGATTTCAGTGCGATAAACATGATAATCAGAACCAAAACAGATGTTTTTAGCAGGTCCGAACTGTAAAGGCACAGCTCTGTTCTGGAAAAGGGGGTGGGGAGCAGCAGCTCATTTGCATTTAAAGAGACAGGCACGAAAAACAGCGTGTTTCTGCTTCCACTCAAAATAGGCATTTTCAAAATGATATAATAAATGATCTGTGGGGTATTTTGAGCTGAAACTTCACAGACACATTCTGGGGACACCAGAGACTTATATTACATATTGTAAAAAGGGGCATAATATGTCTCCTTTAAAACAAAGAAAATAAAACAATATTATTGGAGCACATTTTACAAGAAAATACATTTTCAGTCTTTCTACTTCAAAATGTCATGTTTAATTCGATGTTACTCACTCTTTCTTTGTAATGAATTGTGAAATTTACTAGTAATTTTAAGTTAAATTACTTAATTTTACAACAATTTTAGTGTAGGTTATTAATTAACTAAGCAAATTTGGTTTGACATAGATAAACCAAATACTTTGACATTCTGATAATTGTACTGAATTAGAATTATATAAAACAGAAGTATTTTGCTTGGTGTTGTCAGACTGTTGGACCCCACTGTATACTTCGGCTATACAGTTTTTGTCAGCATTTGACCATCAGCCATCAACCCATTTCGGTTGAGCACTAGAAATGATAATGATGAATAGATCATTTGTACTGCTTTCTTTATGTTGATTTATCTTACCCCACTGTACAAAACAAGTGCACCAAATCTGTCCAGCCAAACAATCTAACATACAAACAAAGGCAGTGCTAACAGGAGGTTAGCATTAAACAATAAAAGTGAGTGCTTATATTGTGCTTAAAAAGAAATACACATTTCATATTCAGTACAGATGAAAAATAATAACAATAAAAACATTATATATGCATTCAAGTGGTATTTCTATGGCTTTTTGTACAATACAACCTTTAGTGAAAATATACATCTACACATAATTCAAGTACAAATGTACAAAATTCTTTAAACTCATACCCTTTTCTTTAATTATGATACAGTTTAATACAGTTCATAAATACAGTTGAACATTCATACGTTTAGTATTCTGATTGGCAGCTGATGGGAAGTGGGAGTGGTTTAAAGTCAAGATGGCTCCTCCTCCTCACTGTTGGCACTCCTAAAACAAACCTGGAAATGATGAAGAGCACAGTGACAACTTATTAAATGTACTGAAGTTTATACACACTAACATGGCAAACATTAATGTTTCTGATGACTAGAAGTGCGGTCACATTAGGGAAATGATAAGGCAAAAAATGTCCATTGTATATTGTCAATTGTGTAGCAATGAATGAAGCACCGCTCACACAGACATCAATTTCAAACCAAGACGCTTTCTGTTAATCAATACGGCAAATCCACATGACCGGGGACCAGTTACACAAACATAGCCACAATGTTAAGACTGTGTCTTAAAAGGGTCAACGGATGCCTATTTTATATGTATTGGCAATAAAACCAAAAGATGAAGGTGGGAAGGTCTGTTTGGAAAGAGCCAGAAAATACCTCAAGCCCCACCCCCTCTGACCACGGCAGGCGGCACGGTAGCACTTGCCTCTCGGTGGAATAAACGATAGAAGAATCCTCGCTTGGGTGCTGGATTTGGCTTGTTCACATCCAGATCAGAACACAGTGCTCCATCCATCTCGAACACATTAATCTCTTTAAAGCACTCCATCTCAATCATCTGAAATACAAACACACACACACATACACAACTGTACAGTGCACAATCCATGCAAGTCCTCCATTTCACATCATGGCCACATCACCATCTAGAATTATCAATCATTTAATCTATCATGAATTTCTAAGTGAAAGTTGTATTGCTCAGAAGTTACTCTTTTATTGATTTATTGGAGCTGTCTCTCTTTTAACTTTGTCTCAGATGTTTATCCCAAAAATCCTTAGAATACATAAATAAATGACACGATTGTTGACACTGCAAGAGCACAGAGCTATAAAATTAAATTGATCTAAATTGACAGTAAAGACAGTTATAATGTTAAATTTTTATTTTAAATAAATGCTGTTCTTTTTCTTTTCATCAAATAATCCTGTCCTCCATTTCACATCATGGCCACATCACCATCTAGAATTATCAATCATTTAATCTATCATGAATTTCTAAGTGAAAGTTGTATTGCTCAGAAGTTACTCTTTTATTGATTTATTGGAGCTGTCTCTCTTTTAACTTTGTCTCAGATGTTTATCCCAAAAATCCTTAGAATACATAAATAAATGACACGATTGTTGACACACTGCAAGAGCACAGAGCTATAAAATTAAATTGATCTAAATTGACAGTAAAGACAGTTATAATGTTAGATTTTTATTTTAAATAAATGCTGTTCTTTTTCTTTTCATCAAATTATCCTAATATATATATATATATATAATATAAGTTGATATGATTCTTTAGGGTCTTAATGAAAAGTCTATAACATACTTTGGTTAAAATGTCTCAATGGTAGTGTAAAAAACACCCTTTTTACCTTGTCAAAATGAGCTCTGTTTTCAGCACGTTGTTCTAGTCTATGTTGCTTTAAATGCTAATGAGCTCTGCTCACCCCTCCCCTCTCTTCTGTGGGGTGATGAGTAGTACGGTTTACTTTAGCCGCCAAACTTGCTAACAAGCACATATTAGGAAAGGCGATTTGCCAAGATTCATAAAAAACCTTATACTCAACTTCTTGTGTAGATGAAGCTCGATCATGAATGATTTGCGCAAACATAGACGCATTGTGCAAATCACAAAGCCTGATTTGAGAAAGGAGATTTTAAAATAGGGATTTAAAAAAAACCACTGGGTGGATTTTTATCATTATGTTCAAACAACAACAAAAGTGAATTTTGCATCCGATGACCCCTTTAAGAACTAGTTAGACCAACTAACAGTTAGCCAAGAAGTAATTAGTCTTATGATTCAGACTGGGCCAATCTACCGTTTTGTAATTGACTTTAAAAAGTTATGACTAGTCTTTAAGAAAACGAATTAGATGACTACATTTTTAAGACTAGTCTAAGCAGTTTATGCAACCGGTCCCATATTGAACATTGATTGATGAACTAAACATAAAATGATGAACTAAAATATTGGGGGACCAATATATACAGTATATGCTGTCTTGAAGAACCATAACATGGTAAAACATGTATTTTTTAAGCCCACGATTGCTTTAAATTTTCTCTGCTATATTTTAAACTGGAGATGAAACAATTGGTAATGAATGAATGCTTTTTAATCTCAGTGCAAACCTACACAGTTAAAGTATGAACTGGAATCAGCTGTCATTTAACCAACAAAACTTTGCTATAAGTGGTAAACCAAAAAAATTCCGACGTCAAACTGACTAGTCATCAGTCCTGTGGTCTGCATTACTTTGGTTAGGGTTAGTCAGAATAAACCTAAATTAAAGGCTCAGTTTGTAACAGTGTTGTAGAGGTTTGTCCCCATCACCACATAAACACACACACACACACACACACACACACATACACTGAAAGAAATAGGCTCCATTTATATTGCAAGGCTTAAATTCAACATGAAATCAAAATTATTTTTTGTTGAATATCTTGTTTTACTCGTAATACATAACATTATGGAAGCAAAATAGGTTGCAAACTTTATTTCATGTTGACTTTAACAGAGTACGCTTGTCTGTTTACATTTCACGGCACAGATAGAAATTAGAAGTCTGGCCATGCAGAGACCGTTTTACCATTCAAGTTCATAAAAGGCCAACAAAGATGTATTGGCAATAAAACCAAAAGATGAAGGTGGGAAGGTCTGTTTGGAAAGAGCCAGAAAATACCTCAAGCCCCACCCCCTCTGACCACGGCAGGCGGCACGGTAGCACTTGCCTCTCGGTGGAATAAACGATAGAAGAATCCTCGCTTGGGTGCTGGATTTGGCTTGTTCACATCCAGATCAGAACACAGTGCTCCATCCATCTCGAACACATTAATCTCTTTAAAGCACTCCATCTCAATCATCTGAAATACAAACACACACACACATACACAACTGTACAGTGCACAATCCATGCAATTCCTCCATTTCACATCATGGCCACATCACCATCTAGAATTATCAATCATTTAATCTATCATGAATTTCTAAGTGAAAGTTGTATTGCTCAGAAGTTACTCTTTTATTGATTTATTGGAGCTGTCTCTCTTTTAACTTTGTCTCAGATGTTTATCCCAAAAATCCTTAGAATACATAAATAAATGACACGATTGTTGACACACTGCAAGAGCACAGAGCTATAAAATTAAATTGATCTAAATTGACAGTAAAGACAGTTATAATGTTAGATTTTTATTTTAAATAAATGCTGTTCTTTTTCTTTTCATCAAATTATCCTAATATATATATATATATATATATATAATGGTTCCCACAAAAATATTAAGCAGTATTATGAATTCAATATTTTAACTTGTTCTCTGATATCTACATAGAAGCTATGTGGCTTAGGTAAGGGCAAAAAATCTCCAGAAACGGTTTTACATGTCCATTTACAACCCTAGGATTTGTCCCTAGAATTAAATGGTCTGTTTTTACCTTATTTGGAAGGGTCATGAATAATAATGTTGAGCTCTGCTCTGATTGGCTGTTTCACAGTGCGGCTCATTTCTGTAGCTAACACAGCAGGAAGGAAACACAGGGAAATATGTATATTTCAATACTGTCTCTCGCAGTTATATCGTTCGGTAATTATACTGTATATAAAATGCGGGCATCAGGGAGCTGCATATTAATATGCGGGGCATTGAAACTGCGTTCAAATGCACGATCGCTTTTAACTTTCACTTTCGAGATTTGCGATCCCACGTGCTCTGTGTAAACTACAGCGGCAGTACTTGACACACATTTCACAAGATCAGATGCTTGTCAGTGTTGCTCAGGATCTGTAAATCATTCGCCATCATCCTATGCAATTGTCTACACAACGCAAGGCTGTCTAATTCTAAACTTTAAAATATACATTTATTTTGTATTTATTTTAATTGCACATTTAAATTATGTGCAAAATTATAAATTTACATGCTTAAGGATTATTTCAACCAAACATGAAGTGTGCCTGTGTGGAAAGTGACTGTGCATGGTCCTTTTTGGGTCTTTCACAAAAACGAGTGAGCACCATTTTAAAAAATTAAAATAGGCCCTATATATAATATGCACTGTTGCTTAGTATTAAAATTATAGCTTCAGATGCATGATATTTGTAGGGCCCTATGAAATCCGTTTTATTTTCCCCAAATTAGCCTAAGTTTTATTTTTTCCAAAATCTTTTTTTCCGTTTAATTTTTCTGGATTCAG